AAGCTCGTTGTTCTTTGGTACTACCTCCGTCCCTGTGTATTTGTCCACTTTGACTTTTTCGAGTCAAACTTGACAAACTTTGAACTCCAATTACTCTCAATTTATATTGCATATTAGCATAATGAAATGCAATTTTGAAAGTTCTCAATATGATAAATCCAATAAAGTCATTTTTATGTTAAAATACATTACGATTTTTGTTTAATTGAAACTCAAAGTTTGTCCAATTTGACTCGAAAAAGTCAAACTGGACAAATACACGGGGACGGAGGGAGTATTATTTAAACGTTTCAGTGTTTCCAGTTACGTCCATCTAAATTTCTAACCATCAATTAACAATGCGATTTTAATTTCTGTTATAGGCAATGCGAAGGGCAGCAATATCGCTCTCAAAACTAGCTGACACTGCTCGTGATGAGCTTCCCAGTACAATGGCTGTACTCAGGCTTTCTGGGATGGAAATCAGTGACCTCACTCTAGAATTGACTGATTTAAGGTACCAAATCCTCCTGGCAATAAGATACGGAGTAACATGGTTAAATATACTCCTTCCGTCCCAATTTAATAGTCCGCATTTGGGACGGAGGGAGTATTAGTTTTATCTTATTGCTTTCCATCGATACTCTAAAGGATCCATTTGGAATATGGAAAATATAGGGAAAGAAAACGTAGGGGAAAATTTAAAAAAAAAAAACAAAAATTAGGGTAAAATAAATGATACAACTAAAACTCTCTCTCTCTGTCCCCAAATCAAATTTGTAGTCTAATTTTAGAGATGTGCTGAAAATGAAATGAAATTTGTGTGTGTGTGTGTGTGTGTGTGTTTCAATTCAATTTTTATGGCTAGGATTCATTGCTTGAATTTTTTCAATCTGTCACGGTTCGATTCACATTAGATTCTGATAAGTTTTCATCCATCTCAAGCAATGCTATAACTCTTCCGATAGTAATCTGTTTTATTGATTTGGAACTTAGCAAAGAGATTTCAGATGGTGTCACCAAATCCGCTCAAGCTGTGCAAGCAGCAGAAGCTGGAGTAAGGCGATTAGGTTCTCTTGCACGCCAGCAAACAATGTGTATGGGAACTTAGCTTTTTATCCTAACTCTACATGATTTTTTTTCATTCTTCTTTCCTTCTCAAGTGTGGATATTTGAATTGATTAGCAATGATTGAGGAGAGAGCAAACCTGCCAGCCATATCTATGAAGCCAGTTGTTGCTAGGGCAGCAAAGAAGACTTCTCAAGCTGTTGGCCAAGCTTCCAAAGCTTTAATGAATATGATCTCTAGAGGGGACAATGATGATGATTCTCTTAGAGATGAAGATTGAAGAAGCATAAGGTAGCGTAGCGTTTGGGAACTTGCATTTCATTTCAATTCTTGAATTTCAAATGACAAGGGGAGACATGTGGATTTGCAATTGAACTTTGTAATGAAATAGAGGAATTTGCCTCAAATCCAAATCCAAAATTTTAAGATTCTCCAAACATGGAGTTTGAGCCAAATCTGGATTTGAAATCCAAATTCCAGCTCCCAAACATGCCGTAAATGAATATGGTTCTGACATCGCTACCGTCTCATTTTCTTCCATCAAAAATTCAAGATCCAAAGCATTGTAATAACTGGCGTTCTTAAAGTCTCAGATTAGCGCATCTAGACGCTTGGCCCCACTTTGGTCGCGTCCGAGCTTTTCTTACATTGGCATTGCATAAGCACTAAAGCATTTTTAGAGCGTCGGTATGATGTAAATAGGCATTTTTAACTATTCAAAGAATCAGAGTATGATCTTTTCAACTTATTTTCATTTTAGTGTAGCGTAAAACTATGCTACGTACTACTCTGTATTCAACTATTATGTCAGTTCAAATCTGAATTTGTCGATTCAGTCAAATTTCAATTGTTCTTCTCTCATTGACCACCATGTGTAACACTTAAACTTGCATAAAGTTGTTTTTGCTTGTTTTTAAAATGTTATCTTGTGGGTATTGTTAGTTGTGTAGATGGACTTTATTCATTTGATTGTGTTATAGGGATTAGGGATCATTTAGAATGACTTGTCTTTTAAGTGCTCTCTACTTTGAAAACACTTTTTCCTTTACTTTGTGGAACACACTTTTTTGGAGTGTAAGGTTTTCTTTCCTGTAAAAAAAAGGACAGCCCAAAAGCTTTTGATCGTTGTGGCTTTAGCAATCACGAAGCACTTGGCAACATTTTCTTATAGCGAAAGTATCATATAAGTTCCTTATACGAAGTACTCAACTTCAAGACCTTTGGTGGTGGGTTTTGATAAGTGGGATATCAAGTTCTTTTGGTGAGTGTTTGAATGTTGTAAAAGAGATTGAGACTTGATATTTCTCGATATTTGAACTTTCTCTATATATGAGTTCGTTCATGTAAAAATATTCTTACTGCGAGAATATGAAAATGGTACATTTTTAAACTGACATGATGCATACGAGAATCCCACCGTGATTTTTTTAATTTTTTAGAATTTTTTAATATTTAATAGCCATTAGATCTTAAATCTAATAGATCGTACTCATTCTCATTTCTTTCACTATGCACATTTCTCATTTGAACCAAAGTATTGTGCGCCTGTGTGTGTGTGAGTGAGATATAGAACTATAATACTATCCATATTATTTTGTGTATTACTATAATATAAATTATTGTTTTAAATAAATTGTTCATATAATTTAATTTGTTAGAGTCAAGGTTCATTCTTTTCGTTTCAACCAAGACCATCAGACCTTTAGGGTCGACCTTGACCACCACCACCACCATTAGCGTTACCACTACCACCACGGGTTCCATTTGATTTCTTTCCAGTTTTAACTAAAGTATTGTATTCTTGATATTAAGCGCTTTATTCTATATAGTTGCACTTATAGAATGTTGTACATTTACTGTAATTTAAAATAAAATACCACTAAATCGCTTGAGAAACAACCAGTGATCAATCATTTCATTTAAAATAATGTAATTTTTACCAATGTTAAAGTTATTCAACTAACACTTTAATTATTTGTTTTGAAAAATAATGTATCTCAAAATTCATTTTAAATTAAATTTTAATATTTCCTTGAAAACAAGGACGGCAACAACAAATGCAATATGAAAAAAAATTTTATGAAATTTGCACAAAATAGTACTAAAAATATGTTATTTTCCAATGTAGTACTTGAACTTTTTTATTCTCTAAATAATTCTTTAATAATGTCTAGTGGCAGAAACGCCCAGTGATGTCGGACATTTAGTTTGAACAATGTCCAATGGTGGTGAACATTTACTTGAACAATGACCAATAGAGAATGGCCAGAAGTACTACTTTGAAAAATAAAAACATATTGTACTACTTTGATAACATCACTATATTTTAGTACTATTTAAATAAAATTTCCTAATTGGCATGCGAGGTGTTGGAATATTCATAATTTCACCCTGTCAAAAGCAGAGATTTTGCTTTCTTTAGACCCTTGATGCATTGCTACATCTGTTGCCTAGATCTTCATAGAAAGTAAGAAACAAGAAAATTTTGATGTGTCATTTTGATCTAGTTTATTAAGAAGATTTCAATAAGTTCCATGAGTAAATTCCAACAATGCACCTGACTAGACACAAGAAAATAAAAAATTAAATCCATAATGGCCACTTCAATTTTTCTAACTCATCATCTTCACATCATATAACTCCCCGAAAAACCCGCTTCACCGATGGACATTTCAAGGGCACAAAGCGGTCATTGCCGAGCTGCGGTTCTTATGGTTTAGATGTATTGTATTGGGTATGAATGTATGATTCCTAAAATATGTTTGAAGGAATAATCTTACAAAAAAACAAAATTGAAGCTTTAATCCCACATTTCTGAAGTCAGCTGTTCATTTATTTACAAGACTACAAGACAGAGTGACAGACAATGTGAAAGTTAAGGTGGCACTTCGAAATACTGCAATTTAGAGTTCAGACAGATGATGCAGAACACAGCAAATGATCCCATATCAACTTTAAGTTGTCTCCGAGCATTTGAAACACTTCGTCGCTATCACATGTTTGCTTCTGCATTTCAAATACGGGGAAAAAAGAATAAGATGTGTTCTTTGCTCTAAACACTTTTAAAGATTAACTTGTCCACATTCTTATTGGCATATTCTTTACCGGATTACTTTTTTGGATGGGGGAGTTAGAGTATTAGGTGAGGGTAAATAGGTCAATGCCACTTTACTTTATCCTTAAATGAAAAGTGGACAAATAATATATGACGGCTCAACACGAACACTCGACAAATACATTGGGGCAAAGGGAGTATTATGTAAACTATAGCATTGATGCGGTGAAAGAAAAGCACACCTGTAGTTGGGATACAATCCCATGCATTTTCAGAACAACCTCCCCTGAAACCTCACCAGATGATGTTCTGAAATCAAACCGATCTGCACTTCTAACCTTAAGCCGGAATGATGAACTTCTATATGTTTTAGCAGTGGTATGCCAGACACCAGCTATGGTGTACCGATCTCCTGATGAATCTTTCCCAAGGGGCCAGCGGAGTCCACCTTTAATGCCCGAATCCAGAACAGCACAAGAAATTAGAGCTCGTATGCAATCTAATTCTTCGTTCTGAAACATATGATGGGTTTCCAGATCACAAAGTTGACAATATCCACGGCAAACTCACCAAGTCGGTTTAAAAGAAGACCGATAAGAATCAATTGGAAATGGAGGGGGGTAATGATTCTGATATGATGTTAAAACCGTCATTAGATAAAAAAGAATATACGTACGAATAAATCAAGTCCCAGGTAATTTAAATCTTACCGTTAAAGCTATCATGATTCTCTTGGTATTAAGCATTAGCCTTAGGTCGAACGTCTTCTCAAGACAGGACAGGCCTGCAACAAGGTGACGCACTTGGTTTAATTCAATCTGCAACGAAGAAGTTAAAAAGGTGAGACTGTAAGATTACTTATGACACATACTGCATAAATGTTGGCTTGGGCCAAACAGAATATTGTACAATTTGTTCAGCGCAGATTTCTGACAAAATAAATACATTCACACAAACTCTGGTGCAAGCATACATATTAGTATATTACCAAAGTACTGTCATGGAACATGCCTTGTAGTGTTCAATGCTTTTATGATCTTGTCCCACAGCACATTTACAGGAGATAGTTGAATCAGGCCGTAAATTATCAGAAATCTACACACCGCATGAGAGATATAGTTAAAACACGATTCAATTAAAACGTGGTTGAAAAAAATTCCTTGAAATGTAAAAGCGAAAAGAACTATAGAAGCACCTTCACTTGGTAAACCTCCTTATCTCCCTCAAAAGTAAGCCCAACTTTATGAACAATTTCGCTTGTTATGTGCTCCACATACGAAGATGGAAGATTAGTATAAAATGATCTTTTCAATTTTCTCAAACTGCTTTCAGTCCATGATTCTAAAGGTGGAGGATTCCTGCATTGGAAACAATCTCAAAGTCCATGATTCAATGTTCTCAAACTGTTTTTTCCCAGGAGGGGTAAATGCACAACATAAATTACTCTGCAATGTACATACATGAAAATTAGATCCTGTATACACTAAATAAACGAAATAGCAGCACTTTTGATTTTGAAACATCAAATTAGACATGGCATATGTGCAATTATTAGTCCCAATAGAAGATAAAGCTACAAAGATGAATAGGGGAGCACTATGAAATCAGAAAGCATGATGTGTACTAAAAAATCAACATGTATCAGATCACGAAACATACATTATACTAACTCATGCAGTGTGTTGTTCAAATTACAACAATAAAAACAAAAAGCACAACAAATGGGCTTACGGAGTCATATCTTTTTGAGTACGTTCATTACACAAAAGGAAAACTAAAGCTTGAATTTAGTACTCAAAAGTACTAACCCGTGAAAGAGAACTCTTCCGACACGGGCAACCAGAGTAGGCTTTACCTCTTCAAGTTCATTTTCCTGGATTTCATTTTTCACCCTTTCAAATGATAAAAGAAGGTCATTCTTCACATTTTCAACTATACAATCCCACGGGCATTCCACAAAAGCATCATCTCTATCACCAGCGTCTCCTAAGGCACAAAATCATGGAAAAAGACGGCCCGTGGATCATAGTCATGCACCATACAAGCAGTTCTATACTTCAATACCATTCTATGTAATGCTCTAAGCAATTCTAGACACACAATTACTTGTACAATACACTTCGGTTTCAATCCTTGGTTCAAATAGAGAACAAGCAGGATACAACACAATACCTTTGAGAACCAAAGCGAAGGGGGTTTCACCAGATTTTCTGGCGAGGGAATCGGCAGATACAGGCTCGAATCCGATGAGAGTTGAAAATTTCGAGGACGATTCAGCTTCGTTACCCGTGTTGAGCAAGCCGATCGCGAACCACTTGGAAATCGCGGCGTCTGCGTAAACAATTTTGGAACCCTTGACCTTTTGAGTGCTCCTACCGCTTGAATTTCGGCCGCTTGAGTTTGCGCGGAAACGAGGGAGCAGATGAGACTCCGGCGCCGGAGTGCAGCTTGAGTGGCGCTTGTGGGGAGGAATATAAGCCATGGCTGCCAACAGCTTCCCAAATGTAGCTCCTCTAAGTTTATCAGTGGGGGAAATTATGAAGAACATGTCTACCGGAAAAAATTTGAAAAAATTGGAAAAACGGAAAGTAATTGAAAAGATCAGAAGAAACAAAAAGAAACTGGAAGGACTATAATAAAACCCGAAAAACTTCAAAATATTAGAAACCTAAAAAAACTTTTAAAAAAATTATTTTAATGTATTTTTATATTATTCTGATTATAATTCTTGTTGTTATAAATTATTATTATTATGATCAACATCATCATCATCACGTTATCTTAATCAATACTTTTAAGATAAAAAAAAGTATTGTTATTTTTCAAATACAAAAAACTACTTTTGCAAAAAAATAATTATAATATAAAGTTAACATAAATATCAAAATGTTAAATTTTAAAAAGTTTTTGTGGTTACGTTGCACATCACATTATTTTTTTTACATTTTTTACGTTTTATTCATATTTTAGTCTTTCTCTCTAAACTATTTTGACTTTCAATTTTTAAAAAAAATGAAAAATGAAAAAATTTTGAATAATAAAGGGAAAGGTGAGAGGTCTAATATAAAGTTAAATTAATATAAATATTCTATGTAGCTATTTTATCCATAATTTTTAATATATATAATTTGAAATATTGATATTTTTCTATTTTATCATGTAGATTAATATACAAAAAAATTGTCTTATTCATATTAAAAAGTTGAAGAAAAAAATAAAGAGTGTGAATCGTAAAAATAGTGATGAGATGTAAAAAATAATTTATAAACTATAGTTATGAACATAACAGTTATAATAATAATAATAATAATCACATTAAAAATATATATTGTTTTTAGAGTAATTGGTTAGGGAGTAGAAAGGGTTTGAAGAAAAAAAGAATAGTTGGAATTGAAGAAACTGGAAAAAATTAAAAGAACTGGAAGAAACTGTAAATAAAGAGTTTAAGCCTTAAAGAACATGCTCTAAATAAGTACTCAGTAGTGTTTATTTTATCGATCTTATATTAGTTATATACTTCTTCCCTCCAACAATTATCTTTGCGTTGCGTATTATAACATTTGATAGAAATAATTTTCAAATCATTTTATATAAAAACGATGAGAATTAAAAAATAAAAATTATATATTTAAAAATTAAATCAAAAGTTTTATAAAACTAGAGGTGACAAGACAATATTATTTTATCAAATTAGCAACGAAAGTAAGCCAACAAAATAAATAAAATTTGACCATAACGGGAATATACGTGTTAGACGGAGAGAGTATATGGAGAACTCTTTAAATAGAAGTAAAAAACTATGAAAAAACCAAAAGTAAGAGTCATAAGTCTTACTCCGTATATTTTAAGACTAAAATAGAAGTTCACACTGTCATTATTTCACCAGCACATTCACCACATTGTCATATTCTAACTGTCACAACTCACAATATCACCGCCACACTACGAACCGGCGATGGTCTTCGGAGTGTCGTCGCGAATCACCGACGGTTGGCTGATCACACCGACATATTACACTTTCATCATCTTTCCATCATACTGCCAACGCGTAGTCTTGCACCACACTACCATTATATTCTTATTTTGGTCTTAAAACACTTGAGACTCTTACTTTTGTATTTTTATGTTTTTTTACTCCTATAAATGGAGATTTCTATAACTGTACAAGTAATTGTGTTTCAGAAGGTCCACACACACACACACATAATGAGTTTATAATTTTTTTCTAATAGCTAATAAATAATTTAAATGGTTATAAAATATTTTAAAATCTAAATGAAACGAAAATTTTTAAACGAATCAAATATGTCTTGTATATTAAGGAATCAAATATGAATCTTAAAAAATGTTTGAATCGGATTTGAATTCGAATGTCACCTTATCTTAACGAATACGAATATCATTCATGCATGAATATTCGATTTGTTTACAACTCGAGTGGTGAGCACTAGAGTAACCTTTTAATATATTGAGTCTCACCAACGGCAGTATAGGAGCAACTTCCCCAAAAATGAGGACTCCTTGTGCGCAGTAAGGTCTAGTCTCAGGCTCTGTTTCCAAATGAGTCACCATAATTTACACCCGCTCACAATCCCGTCAGGTAGAAGGTGAGTGGCGTCCGGAGCGAACGATTTCTCCTTTTTGGAACAAGAAATAAATAGTAGTGACCCTCAAGCAAAGTGGCGCGATGATACGAATATCGTATCGGGTAGGGAAGAACTTCGAGCGTTCTCCAAGCTCCAAGAAGAAGAGGAAGAGAATGATGGAAAACTTCGAGCGTTTCCGAACTCCAAGAGAATAGAGAAGGAGATTAAAGTTTTGATATTTCTTTATTGATTCCAGAATAACGGGAAAGGATTACAATATATAGAGTAATACGGTAACACGAAATGACCTAATGGGCTCGGGCCCATACTAAAGTAACTAAACCCTAAACTAGATTAAATATAAGATATTAATAAAGACTACTAATTAATAAATAATATGACTAATATACTATCATATCATTCTCGCCCCCTTAAAAACCA